AGGGATGGATCCTGGTAGCAGGCACAGGACGCCCAGTGTCTCTTCTCATTGGCACATGAAATTGCCCCTTTAGAAGCCACTTTTGGGCATGATGACCCTCTTCCATGACAGTCAAGGGAGGCAGCACACATTTTGGTTGTGGGGGACGGGAATGGGGTTAGCCATGAAGGACTCAGGTCATCCCCATGTTCCAGAGCCTATCACTTCAACCTTACAAACCATTGTAAGTTTTATGGTGCTAAGCATGTGAAATCTATGGCATTGCTTTTCTGCTCAGCTGATGGTTTGTACTCTGCTCAGCTGTTACTATTTGTATCTTGTGATGAGAGTGGCCATGACTTTTGTCAGGAGTGGTACGAGATGCCACTATGCAGAAAGATCAAAGAAGATGGGCTTGTGTTATGATCATCTTTTTTCACTTTTTTGTAGCATTCCAGCCAAAAACATTGGAGAGGCCAGGCCAACACTGGGAGCCCCAACTCAATGTTGGAGGGGCCAGGGCCCTTACAAAAGAACACAAATCGGCACCTGTGAACAAATCTCACTCCTATCTATGCCGGCTTTTTTTACTGGGTACCTGTATTGCCGACGGTGGGGAGAGAGCTACGCTGGCTGCAGGGTTCCTGTACTGCCATGATGGAGAAATGCTGTTAGGTATCAGCCGACGTAGTGACGTCACTGAAATGGGTTTGCATCGATCTGGGTTTTTGGGCCGACTGAAGGCTACAAGGCATTTGCTAGCGATATGATGTCATGGTATTCGACGGATATGTGACGTCACTGGTTGTGAGGCTTTAGGGCTTTTGGGTGCAATGAATGCCGTTTAAAGCATCACCTGACGATATGTCGACGCTGGTATTCAATGAAACATCAGGCGCAACGGCCTTATTCATCTTTACCTTTCGTACTGTCTGCTGCAAGCATTTGCGTGCCGAATAAAAGCTTGACCGAATCACCTGAATGTGTGACGTCACCAATCACCGCTTGATACGAGTGCACTTAGGCCCCACGGCCGCGGTTGTATCATTCCGTGAAATATCACTGGGTATCCGTGACGTCAGTGATATTCTACAAATATTGGTCGCAACGGTCAGGGTTCATTTTTAGCTTCGTACCTGTCTACTGCAAGCACTGGCGTGATGATAAAAGCTACCAAATCACGTGAGGTGTGTGACGTCACTGGTCATGCATTTTTATGGATCTTTGGGGGCCAACTGAGGGCCGTAGAGCATAGCTAATGATGTGACGTCACTGGCATTCGACTGTGTGTGATGTCACTTGTGATCAGATTTTACGGCCTTTTTGGGCCGACGAAAGGTCATACTACATTAACTGAAGATGTGCCGTCACTGGTATCCGAATACAATTCAGGAGGCCCATGGCCATGCTCCTCTTTGCCTTTGGTACCTGTCCATTGCAAGTATTTGAATGCTGAAGGAAGGGTCTGCCGAATTACCTGAGTGTGTAACGTCACTAACCATTAATTTGTATAGACTGTTTTGAACCCACTGTAAGCCATACCACATCAGCTGACCATATGACGTCACCGGTTTTCGTCTAGGTGTCATGCGCAACAGGCCATGCTCTATCTTTGCCTTTCGTACCTGTTACTGCAGCTTTCGCGTGCTATATCAAGGTGATGCTGAACCATCTGAGTGCGTGACGTCACTGGTCATGAGTTTATACAGGTCACTTGGGCAGCCCAATGCAACAAGCATCATATCCTGTAAAGCATCGCGGGATATATGACGTCACTGGTATTCGACTCAACATCAGGCGCAACAGGCCATGTTCCATCTTTACCTTTCGTACCTGTCTACTGCAACATTCGCGTGTTATATCACGTCATTGGTTAAGAGTTCTTACGAGCTCTTTTCAACCCCTATATGGTATAATGCTTCAGTTGACGATATGATGTCACTGGTTTTTCGACTTAGCATCAGGCACAACATGTCATGTTCCATCTTTGCCTTTCGCACCTGTTAAAGTATTGGCGAGCCTAATGATGGCTCTGCCGAATCACCTGAGTGCGTCATCATGAGTTTTTACAGGCTATTGTTGGCCGGGAAAGCCATTAGGCATCATCTAACGATATGTCGTCACTGGTAATCCACTAAGTGTGTGACGCCATGGTCATGAGTTTTCCCGCGCCTTTTTGGGCCGACTTAAGGCCATAGGCATCAGGTAACGATATGACGTCACTGGCATTCAATTAAGCATCAGATACAATATGTCATGTTTCATCTTTACCTTCCGCACCTATCTACTGCAAGTATTTCGCGCGCCACATAAAGGCTCTGCCCATCACTGAGCGTGTGGTGTGAGGGTTATGAGTTTACGCGGGTTTACCCGGGCTGACTGAAGGACATCAAGCATCATCTGGCGATGTGACGTCACTGGTATTCAACTTAACACAGGCGCGACAGGCCATGCTCGTCTTTACCTTTCGTACCTGTCTATTGTAAGCATTGACATGCTAAGGAAAGCTCTGTGAAATCTCCTGAGTGTGTAATAGTCACTGGTCAGTCAGAGTGCTTTACGGGCTGCTTTTTGTACCTAATAGGGTGACAAGACATCAGTTGACGATAGTGACATCATCACTGGTATGTTGACTTAATGCTGCAGGCGCAACACAGGTCAGGGACTTCACATCTTTGCCTTTCGCACCTCTATACTGACAGTATTGCGCGCGCTACATAAAGGCTCTGCCGAATCACCTGAGCATGTGGTGTAACTGGTCTGAAGTTTACGCGGGCTTACTCGGGCTGACTGAAGGACATCAGCATCACCTGACCATATGAACGTCACTGATATTCGGGCTGTGGCCCAGACTTATGGCCGCTAGGGCGGCGCCCTTGATATTATTT